CGAAATACAACAATGTCACCTGCACGAATAGGTTCTGTACTATAGTTAGTCAGCAGAAAAAGGTTTCCACGGCTATAAATAGCTGTTCCCATACCAGCACTAGTCAAAAACACGCATGTTTTCGATTTTAATAAAAAATTTCGAGAAGACTAACCTTAACAAAATGATAATAGGACTTGCACAGTTAGTCAACAGCATAAGACTTTTCCAACCTATGATTGTTGTTGCACTAATCAGTGCACACTTAAATACTAAAGCAATACACTAGTTATGAGCAAAATAACACGATATGAAAGTACCGCAACTAGGTATAAAGAGTAATTACCTCTCGTTGTTGATGCATCTCAATGACAAAAATAATACTGTATTTATTTTCAACAATAAGTGTCACCCAACAAGTGATCAAGCAGCAGCAGATTTGACAGAACAAAAGTGCTTACAGTAGTCATGTAACATGTAAAAAATGGTACTGCATATATAGGTAGCATACAGTGATATGGCGTTATAACAGAACTGAAAAAATGAGTCATTGTTTAATTCTGTCAAACATTGAATGGTGAATGCAAAAAAGCAATCTGCTGTCGTAGCTTTGATTCATATTCTCAATCAATCGCAAAATAGATGTCACTCAAAATGAGAAGTTAAATGTTTTGTTTTTCTTGAATTTATTCTATGACAATAAATTCCGATAACATAATCGGACAGATATGGCAAAAAAAGTGTGGGTGTGTGTTAGTAACGAAGAAAACATCCACATTCTCTTTAATGCTCATTTTTATAAATATTGTGAATAAAACATGAGATCATTCTATTCATAAATTTTTCTTTCTATATAATAAAACAAGATTATTTGAGCTTATATTATTGACTTGAAATCCTCCATAATACAAGAAGTGTTGATAAACTTAATAATGTAAACTAATAATGGACCTATTCTATAAGCTGATTATAATCGAATATGAATTTGATAAAACTATAATATGAATATAGATAAAGAAAAATAAATGAAAACTACTAAATTGAATCGACCATGTATGAGGAAGATAAATAAATAAATAGAAATATTTGAACAATATTCTCTTATATTTTAACGTATTTAAATAGGCCCTCATCTGCTCAGAAATGAGCTCAAATATCAATATCTAATCACATGTTATGTACATATTGTGCATATTGCTTTGGAATCGACTATCTAAATTTTAATGTTCATGAGAGTATACATTAATATAAAAAAAAGCTTGATTCTGTTAAGTAAGTGAGCTGCTATTGAACGCCGTAAATTAGTATCTAAAGAAAAAATAATTCAAGTTCTCTGTGACATATTGCTGCATTAAAATACATTTACTCCTATGAACGCATTTCAACTATTCAAATCAATAATGATGGTATAATGTGTTTTAAATAGTTTCAAAATTGTGTAATAACACCGTTTTAACGATAATATTTCATTTAAACAGTGTTAAAACAGAACCTTAACGCCTCTAAACACTTTATTCAAAGGTCTTATCCGGCTGAGTGATGCAATAATCATTTAATTGAACTGTTTACTTATATATTTATGTTTTGAAATGTGAATGTTAGTATGAGTAGGTATGGAGGTGATTGAAGACTCTATCTTCATACTCATTTACATTCAAATCCGCACTCATGCCTACACTTACACTCATACTTCTTAGTCAGTATATACAAATCGTGTAAACTTTTATTAACAAAAATGTTGTGGGCTCTATATAATTGATTAGATGCATTATCTTCTGTTCCATGGCCGGCTACACAGTATAATTTTCATAAAAAGGCGCCCATCATTTTGACACTCTCCTGTTGTCGTATTCCAACGTGAATATACTTAGATGATAATCTAAATAAATGTCATTACAAATGCTATTTGTCACGTCTATAATGGTGATGCCTTCTGTGGAATAATACGGGCAAAATACAATGCGATAGGAGTGGCTCGTTTAATGATCAACTATGTACATATTTTCAGTTTTGTCAACGAATATCGGGACCGGCTTGATAAAATTCGGAATGCTCTTCGCTCCATTCAGAATTACACCATTACCAGCTACAAATAATGCCGCTACTGAAATCGGCTGGATATTTTAAAATACGATAATTCTTCGAATCGACACCGTACAAATTGTGCTTGGCATCAAGAAATATATCTGTAGGATTGTCTAATTTATGGATATCAGATTTGCCAGACACAAATTTGGCTTTTTGACCACAGATCAGCGCTAAAATAACAAAAGACTTTGTCTTGTGAATGAAATAAGAATGAAATCGATATCAACATCTTCTGCCAAAAAGTTAGACTTGAGTCTTTCGAAACATAAAAATCCAACATGATGAATTGAAATGGATAGAATAATAAGAATAGCCTCTTTGCTATGTATTAGAGTTTTTCGAGTGAACTTCGATTGATTTTTGTGGAACACACTCAGAAACAGTACATGTTGCTTTCTATCTGAAACTCTTTTGCTTTCCTTTATAATAGTCACCAGTTACAGGCATCTTTCTTCTTGCAGATAAAGAACCTTGTTATACAAAGCACACAACGCAAACAAGTCAAATATCTCTCGAAACCTCGTCTTTTGGTGCAGCACATTTTCCTTACATGCAACTTTGACGCCCTGCTGTTTCTTTTCACGCTTTTAGTCTAAAATCTATCAAATGATATTGCCATCCGACTTAATTCTGCATAAAATGAGTGATCAGGTTTTATTGATAAAAGAAGTTCGAGAAAATCGTTCAATAACACCGATCTAATTTTAGGATTTCTTATTTTCATTTTGTCCAACTAAATGAAAAAGCTACAAGTAAAAGATTCAATATGAAATTTCGATTTTCAATCCTATGGGAAGAGATACATGTTTCAGTACTGAGCGTTCGATGAAAAGTGTGAGCGTGGGTGTGAGTGAATAAACCATACTGAAAAGATTGTGAATTCACCCGGTAAAAGGGAGAGTTCAGGATGACAATAATAATCCCAATACATGAAATACTCGCCGAAAATCTTTGAGATGTGAAGAAGATATGAAAAAACATCAAATTCATAAAAGAGATCAAGAATGAACATAATTGACGAGCACATTGATGTTAAGAAAGAGAATTTTTTACAGAAGTAAACGCATCGAACTAGTTTGAGATACAAATCAAGGATTCAACATAATGATCGATGTCGTCCCAATGCTGTAATAGAATTTCTGATTATAGTCATAGGTTGAGAAAAAGATGGGTTCTATCTCAGTCGATCTCGGCTTGTTTTTTTCGACTTAAATTCGATTCCGACAGAATCTAATTAATGGCATTCCATCAGACTTGTAATCATATCTTTTTAACGAGTTTTATATGTTACATTGAAGCCTCTGGATGTAAAATTTACGATAAGAACGATTGCCTACTTACGAATGGTCCTATAACTACCAAGTTAATAGCCTTTATTATAGTCGCTTCATGTTTCAGTCTGTACTTGGTGAAGAATTGATCAAGGCTTATTTACCTGTCAGCACACTAGTCGGAATCTTTGTCGTAGTGTATGGTGAATGTGTATGCTTCGATCTATCTCGAACACTTGAGTACAAGCTGATGTATTGTCCCATTTCTGTTTGAACTTTCGAAGAAATGGAATAGCCATTTTGTAGTTATACTATGCAAACAATTACTATGCTTGCAAAAAGGCACATAATTATTTTCCGATGCATGCAAAAAAAATCTCGAACTCTCCATGGAGGTCGAGTAAAAAGTGAATCATAAGGAGCATCAAGATCAATAAAACTCATCAATATAAACCAACTGATGCATACAAATAATTGCCATAATTTGTTCAAATGTTCCTTGAAATACAAGAGCACTTGATCAGCTTCGTCAGATCAAATTTACATACGCAGCTATTTAGTATCAAAATGCAAATTCAATATAACTACGTTATTAATCTTGCAAATCGAATGCATGAATATTTCCATATGGAACTAATTCGACTCGTTACCTTCACTTGAAGTAAGAAAGAATATGGGTGACGCATCAAATAGATGCACAAGCAAATATTCAACACATTTCTACTTGCTATACAATATTGCTGTAGATATTAATAAATTAGTCAATGGAAAGTAATATAAAAGAAAGCACTTCAAAGTATATTGCTCATGTGGAAGCCAGTGCAGGAAAAAACCAAGACAAAAATCATTCTCAAGTGCATTGAATAGATTACAGTAGGATGTAAAGCACTGTGTTTTATTATTAAAAAGTGGGTGTAGTGTCAGTTTCATCTATATCCTCTCCGATATCCATAATCACATTCACAGCTTTTATAAATAAAATAAGCAAAAAAGCAAGTACGATTGAGAAAGCGGGTGCCTACGATAACTTCTGTTCATTCTTTTCTTTTTGTCAGACTAGGAAACGTGAAAAAAACGAAACTATTTAGTATTACTTTCTTTTTCTTCTATCATACAGGGCATATTTTGATTTCGTGAAAAAACAAACAATTTACCATGGGCCATGAAGCTTCGAAATCGAAGATCCATGTCCGACAATCCGATAACAATCTGTTGATTACCAATAACCCGTACCGTTGCATAACGTTGAGCGAAGTACCAATCAATTTATTCACATTGATTTGGCTCGATGAGAAATCGAATGAAAATACGCTTGATTCTTTACGTACAAAAGTACTACTTCGACAACTAAACAATGATCATTGTTTATTCATTGATCATGTTAGTGCGTTCTTTCTTGCTATTGAAAGACTGAAATTGGAAAACAGAAAAATACTCGTCATTGTGTCTGGTTCATTGGCAAAAACTATTCTACCAGCAATACAAGAGACGATATCTAGTGTTATTGTATTCTGTAACAATTATAATAAATACGCTGCACTAGTTGAGAAATATTCCAATGTAACAGATATTTGTACTGACCATGAGACCTTGAAAAATTGTATTCAACGTGAAATTCCTTCATTGAAACTGAATTTATTTCGAAATCAAAGTTTGAAATCAATGAAATCGTTGAGTTCATCAAAAGATACATTCGATAATAGTGGAACCTATTTTTCTTATCTCTTATTCGTTGAATTACTCAAACAAATATCACCTACGAAACTAGCCAAAGATGTAATGTTGAAAAAATGTAAAGATTATTATCGCCGTAACAAGCCAGAACTTGAGAAAATCGACTTATTTCAGTCGACATACACAGCAGATAAAGCTATCGATTGGTACGTTCAAGATTGTTTCATTTATCGTTTAGTCAATCAAGCGTTTCGCACAGAAGATGTGGCATTATGGTATGTATTTCGATTCTATATTGTCGATCTGTGTAAACAATTGGAAAAGGTTCATCAAGAACAACATATTCAAACTTGCTTAAAACTTTTTCGTGGTCAATCACAAATGCCAACGAAAGAATTAGAAATTCTTCGTGCAAGTGTCGGCGGATTAGTTTCAACCAATTCTTTTCTATCAACAAGTAAAGATATCAAAATAGCTCAACAATTCATTTTAGATGCTAAGAATAGTGACGATTTCAAAGTTGTCATATTTGAAATTGTATTAGATGCATCTCGATTGAAAACCACTGTTTTTGTTGATATCGAACAATATGCTAAGCAATCAAGTGAGAGTGAAGTACTTTTCAATATTGGATCCGTTTTTCGAATTCAAAATGTTGATTATGATTTTGAATTGAACGTCTGGAAAATTCAGATGGAAGCAACAGATGAAGGTACACACGATATTCGACATCGTATTGACATCATTCGCAAGAAGTTTCAAAGTGGAAGTATCAATCTGTTATTCGGTCGCTTGTTGTTAGATATGCATCAATTTGTTAAGGCCGAATCTTACTTTCAAATGATGCTTCGAGTATTACCAAGTCATCATGAAGATTTAGCTTTGGTCTACGATCATCTTGGCGATCTAAACATGCATGTTTCCAATTGGAACGAAGCCTTTCTATATTTGAATGCAGCTTATGAAATTAAAAAAGCAAAATTTCGACCTAACCATCCGAATCTAGCTATGACGTTGAATAGTATCGGCAATTATTACAAAGCAATTGGCGAAATGAAAGAAGCTTCTCAGTTCTATTTGAAAGCTTTAAATTGTAAGAATGATCCACGAAATATAGCGATTACCACACTCAATATTAGCAAAATTCAGACAATTAATCAAGAGTTCGAAAATGCTCTTGATTTGTGCATTGAAGCACGCGATATTCTCGAACAAATTCATCCACGACCACATATCGAACTTGTTCAATGTCAAGGCGTAATTGGTGACATTTATTTTGCACAAAAGAATTTTACTGTTGCCGAACATTTCTATACAGCAGCATTCGAACTTAGCAAGAGGTGTTTATTGATCGATGATCCCATTCGAACAAATTGTGTCAGAGCGTTAGCTGATGTCTATCAACAACAAGGTTATACGAATCGAGCGATCACCATTTGTCTCGAACAAATATCGTTCAATGAAACTCATCTCCACGAGAACCATCCAAACAATGCTCATCTTCTCATGAAACTTGGAGAACTTCACACAAACGATCATCATCAACAGCTTAACTTTCTCAAACGAGGATTGCACATCCTTGAGACGAACATTCACCTACAATATGCTGCAACATCGATATGTCTAATCATGTTAGCTCAATGTTATGTTCAACACAATGAATCAGATCAAGTCTCCGTGTGTTACATGAGAGCTTTGGAGTTACAAGAGAAAATTTATCCAAAAAATCATCCAATTATTATAGAAACACTCGAATTGATCCATGCTCATGATCCTAGTACGAGTTGATTATAGAACTGCAGCTCGAATTTTTGTAACCAATCAAATATAACGTATTATTCACTGTAGCCTGATCATATTTTTATTTTTTTACCTTTTTCAACAAGCAAGAAATCATAGTAAGCTTAGCATTGGTAGGCTATCGGATCTAGACGATAGAGTATATGTACCTATGATCAAATCTGTACGAGTGTACACATGATAAGAATGAAAATGCTTTATATGCATTCACTAAATGATTCAACCAAATTGAAGAAATAAATTCCTAGTAGTCTATTTACTGAAAAAAATCGTCTTGTGGCTGCTATGAAACTTAAAAAAGAACTTCGACTTGATTTTAATTCCGAGAACAATTTGTAATATAATTACAGTATACTTTGTATGAGTCATGTCGTGTGCATTTTCGTTATATGCACTATATGATACCTATGAATACGTCTTTCTGTCTGATATTATATAAAACAAAATTATTTTATAACTTATAAACGGCAATATTGTTTCGCGGAAATTTTGATAAAAAGTCAGAAAATGTACTAAAAATCAACGGAGTTCGATATAATCTCACTGAATAGACAGGCAGTTCTGTTCGTCCAACATTGTGAAAAGTTACATCGAAATGGAACACAATTTTCATGCAGTATTTTAATGCTTTACGCAGATAATGATGTATGAAAAACAAATAAGTAAACAGTGATTCACAGTCGACTTTATATTGATGAAATAATAGTAAAAAAATTTTTGGTCTTTGGTTCTGTTTGTTAAAATTTAATCATGAATCAATGCTTAATAATTTCATATCCTTATGTGATTTTTTTATGCTAGAATTTTATATTTACTTAAAGCAAAAGCTTTAAAAGAAATATGTTATTGTCTTCAGTGTGAAGTCTTAGAAAAAATTATCTAATATCCTTAAATGTCATTAGAAAATCAATAAACTGTAGTGCATTCGAAAGTAAACACAATTCTTTATCTCACAAGATATGAATTATAAAACCGATCAATTTAACAAATACTGATTTTTTTCAAAAAACGCAAGGGGAGCCCCTAAAACAAGATAAGAAAAAACAAAGGTTTTCAGAACAGTGAAATAAGAGAAACACACATTGCCAACAATCGCTTTCTTCGTTCTTAAAATGCTTTAAAAGGAAATATATAAAATTTTATGCAGTACAAACAATATTTTCATTTTATTATAGAAAATGATCGAATCAATGAATTCATCTATGCAAATAGTACGAAAAAGAAATATTTATGACAATTAATTTTAAATTACTCGTATACATTTAGAAAACGTGTAAATATCCTTCTTAAGAAGAACAAAAAAGAAAAACAACTATTATCATTTAAAATATGAATCGGAAAGTCCTCGATTGAACTGATAGTATTTCTTGTTTTTATGATTTTTCATCTCAAACACAAGAAAATGTTGCATCAATTCAAGGATTCGAAATGAATACAATTAGTATCTCTTCAAGAAACTGTTCAATCTCTTACATCTTTAGTACCAGACACTGAAGTTTTTATGCAGGTAATGAATTACACATTATTCATCTTGAAGAAATTCAATCGAATTTACCTTTTTTCCATATTCCACAATCATTAAATTATCCACTAGGCGAACCAAAAACTAATCAATCATTAGTCAAACTTTATTTCATACGATTTCATTACAACGTACAGCTATTGATTCATTAGGTAGTCTCGGCTCTTTATATGATATCAATCGAGACCATGTATGAATTAAAATAATTAAATATCAATGATGAACAATGATTATCACAATCATATCGAACAAGACAATGTCAAATTATAAATGGTATTAGAGATAAAAATCTAAATCTTCTTAAAATGATTGGTATTCAAGATGAATTACGCTTAAGTATTCTATTGAATCTAGTATCGAAAATTAATATAGCTTTATTCATTGATTACGCTCATCCAATTGATAATTACACTCGTTTTTTATATTATTCATATTTGAAACGAAGAAGAACGACTTTGTGATGATATATCAAATATACAAAATTCTATTCAATCATTGTTAACTAAAATGGATGCTACTCATATTATTACTAGTATTACTTGGGGAACAGAAATTGTTGTTGTATTACAATTATTATCTGATGATGAACTTACTGAAATGATTGATAATGTACTTAATAATATTCAAGCTATTTTTCGAGAAGATTGTCGATCTTCTAACCTATCATTAGAGGATGAAAATCTCTTGAACAAAATCATCGATACAAAAATCTATTCAAATATTCCACAATTGATGAACATGACATGATTAATTGATATTTGTCAATATAAAAAAAAATGCATGATATCCATCGTTCAGTCATGTATACACTTCAATCTATTGAAGATTTATTTTCTCAATATAATAAATCAGAAATTATTTTCATTTTTCTTCCTTTACAATTGATGAATAAACTTGAAGAATATTTAATAGAATTATTATCTAAAATGAAAAGTTTAAAATATTCATTTGATTACAATGTAAAAAGATTATTAGGTAAATATCTTAAATAGGAACAACAAAAAAAAAATTAAAAATCAATGGCGAAATCTAAGACAAATATATGAATATGAAATTGAACGTATTCGAAATTTAATTTGGAATATTCATATTGATTGAGATGATATTTCTCAAATTGAACATGTATTAAATGATAAAAATTAAATGACTTTAACAAATTGTTTTAGACAATTTCAACAATATATTCATATTCTTGAAGCTAAAGGATATTTCATTTATAATGTAGCAGAACATTATATTAATCATGATGATAATGAACAATCATTAGAATATAAATTAATTATCGATCATTGACACGATCGTGTTCTTTATTCAAATGATACTTTGACGATAAATAAACAATCACAAATTTGAACAACTATGTTATCAACTTATTAGAGAACGTAAGAAAAATTCGAATTTAAATCTTATCTATGCTGATTTTTCCTATTGTTCTTTCGAATTACATGATATAATGGTATTACCATTGAGAAAATCAAATAACAACATTAATACAAAAAAAAGCATAGTCAATCGTTTTCATTAACAAAACCACAATTATCATCTTCGAAAATCATTAATATTCTTCTTCTTGATGAAATAAATGTTGGTAAATCAACTTTTATCAATGCTTTTATTAATTATATTCAATATAAAACATTCGAACGAGCTGAATTAAATAAACTTATTGTTCTTATATCGGTATCATTTTGCATAATGATCAACAATAATTATGAAGAACATATTACAAGACATAGTGATTTTGATAATTCAAATCAATCAGTAACACAATATTGTAAATCATATATATTTCATTTTAAAGATAATGATGAAATAAAATTACGTTTTATTGATACACCTGGTTTTGATGATACACAAGCTAAGATCAATATGCAATATATTTTCGATTATATTAATAATTTTTTGATATTTAAATGTTATTTGTTTTCTAATTAAATCTAATATAGAACAAATAAATATTTTTTTTTTCGAATATGTCTTACACAATTAGTTGATTTTCTTAGTCCAAATACACGTAAAAATCTTATCTTTTGTTTTACTTATACACAATCAGCGACTTCATTTAAACTTGGAAATACAAAATAATTACTTGAAACAAGTTTTAATTCACTTTTAATGAATGATATTCTATTTCGAAAAAAGATAATACATTCTATTTTGATAATGCATCATTTCGATATTTAGTTGCTGTAAAAAATGGAATTCAATTCGATGATAGCGAGAAAAAGAAATATGAAAAAAGTTGGTCAATTTCAATAATAGAATCCAATCGATTATTTGATTATATTTGTAAGAATTTCATAGGTTGTCTTATACCAGGAAAATTACAATTAATAAAACATGCTCAATTTGAAATTATGCCTATGATACGACCTATGTTAGAAACAATGCGTAATATTCTTCAATATATTATTATACCGCATATGAATTCTATAGCAAAATCTATTGAAATACATCCTAAAGTTATTCATCGTCTATCTACTATTTGTCTCATGTGTAAACCTCAGGTTCATCAAGTTGGTGACTTTTGGATTGTAAATGATTTTCCACATGAAATCCAAGAAATTTGTTATACTTGTTCATGTCCTTTCAATCAACATGTTCCAATAGATTATCTATTCAAATACGAACTTTCAAGTCACTCGTTCAATATTGATCAATGTCAAGCAAAGGAATTATTATCGAAATTGTGTTATGCTAGTGCTGAATTTCCTTTTTCTTTTCTTATGTATGCAGCATGTGTATCAAAAGATGATCTATTTGATATTGTACTAACAAAAATGATTGATGAAGAAAATAATATTTGTCTTAGTCAAAATGTAAATCATTTGAATTTACAGTTAGTTAATGAGTTAAGAAAACTAAAAAGTAATTATGAAATCCACATAAATGATATGAAGAATAATCATCAATAGAGTTCATTACCAAATATTTATAAATGAATTCAAACTATTCGAGAATATTCTATGATATATGAACAAATGATAGCGATAAAACAAGTACAAGAAATCATAATGAAACAATATGAATATGAAGTACCAGATATTGTCAGCAATTTATAAATTTATGAAACGATGATGATTTCAAAATTGTTTAATTTGTACTTGGATTATTATTGTTATATGTTTTATAACTCGGAGCTTTTTATTTTGTATCATTGTAAGAATTTACAAAATCAAGATGATTTATTATTTTAAGAGTTTTTAGTGTTAATTATGCGAAGAACTATACAAAAAAAAACAATTAGAACAGAAGTTGCATTTACAATTTTGTCATTTGAAATAAAGAAACTATTCATTTTCTAAAAGTCAAGAAAACAGAAAAATTATCCTCTTTGTTTATTCAATTCATTCTCTTTTATCATAATTCATAGCGCAAAAGTATTCGCTCATTTTTCTGCAACTAAAAGATAGATACTTTGAATAAGAAGTTTTTGATATTTCCGAATGTATATTCATATTTTCTTTCGAGAATAAGAACGAGCAACGATCAATAAATTTTGTGAAAAAGTCAAAAATTGTATATGTATAAAGCAAAACAATTGTTTTTGGCGTAGCTCTTCGTTGACATTTGAGAACTGATTCTACTCAATAGTATTGTAAAGCATTGAATTCTGCACAAAATGAAATATTACATAGGCGAAATCTCATCTATGTGTTTCTAGTAAAAAGCTGATGTCTATGGAAAACGGCGTGAGTCTGAAAATCTGTGCTGAAGAACTTGTTTTTAAGTATATAACAAAAAGCATTTTGTATTTTGAAATTGAAAGGTTTGAATCGAAATACAAGATTGACTTAAATAGTAGTCTGTAAAACTTTTATTGTAGATCTTTTGAAAATAAGATTGATCATATCGTCAACATATCATAAATGTCCTTGTGATTACATTGATCATTGTATTCGATTTATATTAATAATCCCACGAAAATTTAAAAAGTTCAAGAAATGAGTCTTTAGCTGGTAACAATTTGATTACAGTGTTTTCAAGTGTACGAATAAATTTAACATCATGATTAACATGCACATTATGTACTAGTAAATGACATGATTTCATAAAGTAAAAATTAATAATATCATGCATGTTTGAATCATGATTAGCAGTATTTTCACCTTGTAGATCAAATTTTTCAGCAAAGATACGTTCAAAATAACGTACATTGAACAAAAGTGAACCATTATAATGAAATCCGATTCGAGCTAAATAAATCAATAAATTACATCAGTGTTCGAACAGATAAAATCTTACGCAATTTATTGGTATCTGCATCTCGATAAAGCTTCATCATCATTACTGGTTGATCAAACACATTAGAGGCAAGACCACTGAGTACAATGGCTAGTTGTCGAACTCGATTGAGCATTGAGTCAGTAATATGCATATTTTTTTCCGTATAAAATGGAATACCGTGAAAATGATCTTTGTAAATTTCTAAATTAATATTCTGTAGTGCTTCACAAGGTTCTCTAGTCGTTCTATTGTTCTCGATTTTATTGTTTACTGTGTAAAATTCCACGTTATTATAGGGTTGAAGCACTTGTAAAACAGTCTCTTCAATAGTTTCAGGCGTAAGCAAATCATAGTCTGCATCGTCTAACGTAGAATCAGTAGTTGTAGCATTAGACTTTTCATAGCTACTCGAACTTGGTACTGTACTAGTATTCGGCTTGCTTTTTCCAAACCGTTTGAGACCGGGATTTCCTGATTTTATGTGTTCTTCAGCATCTAAACCACTTTCATCCTGTTGAACAATCGGCATGACTGGAGTTTTTGGTTCTACAGGAACTAGAGCAAACAAAATATATTGCTGACTTTTCTATATATATTTTTTTTTTTGAAAAGAGTGATACTCACTATCAGTTGGCTTCGGTGGATTGATGCGCAATCGATCAATAGGATAACCAGATCGTTTAAGTTTTTCCAAAGAACTTTCAAGTTTTACCTGAATTCCGTAAATCATGTCTTCGGTCACTTCATCAATTATAAATTGACCTAAAGTGCTCGCAATATCCATATATTCTATTGTAGTTTGATTTTTTATATGCAACACAATTCCATTATCGGAATATTCGATTGAACATGTTGTCATATTGCTCTTCTACAAAATAACTAGTCAAATAATGTAAATCTATATAACTTACCGAAAATGATTTCTCTTGAAAGGTCATGTGACAATCAATACTGTCGACTTCATAAATGATGAGACTTTTGCGAAGCAATTCAAATGATTTGTCCTTTAGTTTTGGTATTTTTTCACCCTAAAAGAATGATATGATAATATATTGATGTGCATCATTTTTGATAAATAAACTTGTTTACACGTTTATTAACGACCAGTAGATCCAGCCGATCCGAGATCAAACTACATAGCTTCTTTGATTGATTGGTTTGATGTGGGTGACCTATTTAAGTTATTGGAAAATAAACCATAAATCAAACAAATTTATATAGTTTTTTAGAAATCATCATAATTATTCAAAACAGACATGCATAAATGAATCGATTTAGATCATATGATAAGTCGTTTCCATAAAACTGTTGTGTAACAATAAAGACGGGAACAAATCTTTATGTATGGTATAAATGCTGTGACGAGTCATAAGTTTTTTAAGTCAAAGACTCTTAAGTTTTATATAACTATGATAATATTCAAGTACGCATAAATACTCTTTGTGTATCGATATGAATTGACACAAGGATTTTTCGAACAAAACGCTGCAATTTACTCTTGGAAAGAAAAATGTCTAGCTTCTATCTTGTCTGTATTAGACATAGCATGCTTTATTGTGTACCTTAAGTTACTTTTTGACAAAAAAAGTAAAAACTCATTAAATTTCAATTTAATTTATTCTTCAGTAGCTATTCAGCTAAGCAATATTAGTACTAAAAATTACCATGGTGAAATACCTGTGAAAATACTATATACGGAAAATTTCAATATAGAAATGATGATACCTTGAAATGAAAACTTCATCTCAATACAGTCTCGTAGCCATCTCGATCCAAATTTGTTGTATAAGTGATTTAAATTTGGATTAATAGGAGAACATAATGGACGGAAATAGGATGCAATATTGGAGTCATCAACTAGATAAATATCTTTGGGTGATGCAATCTGATAACTCTGTTTGGTATTTTTATTATCATCGTTGTAGATGAATCCAAGACACCATGGCTCATTTTTGAGCCTTGTGATCAACGTTTGGTCTTCAATATCGTCGTTATTCTTTGTGGAAGCTGCCAGACGTGCAAGACAGTGCAAATATGTGCAAGTTTTATCTTCATTTGAACGTCTCTCATTTCTAAAGAAATTCGCTTGGCGGTCTAAAAGTAACTTAGCCAGCGATGAAGCTGATGGCTGGTCCGTGACGCCAATATTAAGAAGAAATGAATTGCCACAAGGGCCGAAATCTACATAATCAATCAATCCACTGGTATCGATTCCAATAAACCTTTCTGAGTGTGTTCTCTGAGTTGAAAATTTGTTTGAACCAATAAAGACTTCAGATGGTTTCCTTAACTCACCGGTGCCTAAAAACTCTACTTCAATAAGTATGAATCATAACAATTAGTACAACCTTGAAATGGAATGAAAGCTAATTCTGAGACGTGCTGTTTTAATTCTGTCTCCATACCGCCCAAACTACTCATAAACGAAAAAATGACGCAAGTCCATTCGAATGATCTAAGAACTACATCTTTTCTTTCCATGAGTATTTCAAAGGCTTCTTTCAATGGTGGTTTATCTCTGAGACCCAATATTGAGAGATCCAAGTATTTCTTAAATAATGTCACTACTTGTGGCAAAGGACAAGCACATAATGGATTAGAATCTAAAACAGAAAACAATAACGTTAGAAGCCTAATCTAATATTTAAAAAAAGTCAAACTTTTAAAAATTTTTTCGATAGGCATCAATACTATACTATTATCGTTACGATTACCACGTCGAGCAGTCGGATTAGCTGGCCATTGAGCGGGAATGAAGGCTCGTCGATTTGTTTTTTCTTTCCAAAGTTTTGGATAATGCTTTTCAACATTTTTGGCTAAGAATTCAAGTGATGGCGGTATGATGTATGATGATCCACCGTGTTCGAAACGTTGTTTCTTAAAATCTTCGTCAATCATATCAATGAGATCATCAAGCTTAGGAGCTTCACGTATTCCAAGCGAACATAGAAAGTGATGGATGTTCAAATCAAGAAAATCATCAGGCCAAAATATTATATGCACTGTATTAGATTTAAGTTGGTGCGCAGCCTCTGAAAAAAGTAGCTCGTCAGGACGGAATAGACCAACTATTTCGTTTTTCGATTGAATTGTTGTACCTAAGGGAACGAATAAAGTATTTCTAAGATTAGAAAAAAATAATCATGTTTCCCGTTAACTTCTAGTTCGATTGCACAAGATTAACAACTGTTCTAAGTTAATGTGCATTTACCTGCAAAGCATTGAGTTTGTTTCAATGCTGCAATATCTTCTTCACTCATAGTTCTATATGAATCCATCAAATACTGAATGAATATTAGAGCGTTTTCTTTCATTGACTTTGGTGCATTCGATAGAGTATTTTGATGAGCGATGAATGATTGTACATGAACTGTTCGACATCCAATTAATTTCAGAAATTCAGCTAAAACACAATTATCTGAATCATTATTGAATTGGATACTACGACAGTCATTGACTCGCACTCCATCTTTACTATTTGGATTCATATTTGGTACGACATTTATAGCAATTATAGGTAAGTCAGGTGATAATATTTGTGATCGAATGTAGGATTCTTTAGGTAATTTCATTCCTTGTTGTGTTGGTATGCATTCAATTTGTGACAATATTTGCTTCATTCGATCTTTTTGAGATTGTTGAATACTATTCCAATATTTTGAAATTAAATTAAACAGATGCACAACTTTATTTTGATCAGTTAAAAGATGTTTTTGGTCATCAAGAAAATAAAAATTTAATAGATCATCAAATGCTAATGGTGTTAATGATAAATGTTTATTGAAATCTTCGTTGGAAATATGTGTAGCTATTCTAGAAGGTATAACACTTGATGGTAATGGTAACAATGGTGATGGATTAATTTCATCATAATGTTTTATTTTTTCTAAGATTATAATTGGTGATTTATCTGTATCACGAAATCGAATAGTTGAGAAAATACTTTCAATAAAATTGCTATTATTGTTAACTTCAGTACTACATAACCAACGTAATAATGCAATAAATTCATTTGATTGAAGAATACAAGTTTTTATAGAACGCTTGATAACATCATGGTTAACTTCTTGTACTAATTTAAGTCGTTTAAGTTCATTGAATAACCCATTATTTGAAATTTCAAGTGGAACAAGTGGAAGTGAAAGAAATGAATGAATGTATTGTGAATAAGCAAGAAAGGCTTTTGATGATTCCGAAAGAGTCAATCGTGAAGCTAATGTTTGTTCTTTTACAGGCACCATAACGTTTTCCTGCGAAGCGAAAAATCCATTGAGGAGAGTAAGACCTAAAACAACAATTAAGAAAAAATAGATTTTCGTCGTGTTCTTTTTTGCAACGAACCGATTTTATTATTTGGAACCGAAGTTTGAAATGAAAATGTTGCGAATTGAGCAGATAAACTATGATTAAGTTGATCGTTATCAAATATTGATTGATCATAAATGAAACGAACCACTTGTCCCATTGCTGAAAGAAGTTCTTTATTCCATTTTTCTAAATGTGGATCTTGCATATCAAGATTTTCACGTTCCACTGTAGGAACCAGATGACTAAAGACATGCATTCCAAGACCTGTAGTTTGTTGTGTTCCAAGACCAATGAAAACAAGACCTGATGGAATAATTTGATTTTCATGACACTTTAGAGGTAATAATGAATGAAGAATTTGAGTTTCAAGATGGGCATCATTCAATGAGATATTTCGTAGTTGAGAAACAACCTAAATGTTATCGATCGCAACATCTGATGAAATCAAATGAGTAGTTAATCTGACTTACATCACTTGGTGCATATAACAATTGAATTCGAACATTAGATGGAAGACTTTTCTTCAAAATACGTCTAATTTGATTGTGAAATTCTTCATCAATATTTAGTTTTGCATTAACATCAATATGCATCAAAGTTATTGATGGACCATTGGCAATAGAAAATGTTTGTTCTGTTTGTACGAATGAGTTAAGAAGAAGTATATTTGATATTGATTTAAAATTGAATGTCGATGTTTCTTTTGTTAACGAAACGATTTGTTTTTTCTTTTTATTAACTCGAAATACAGTTAAACCGTTGACTTTCATCTTGACGTCATTGATATGACTTGTAAATGAGAGTACTATATGAAGAAAAACACAGTAACTTTCTTAAGAGACATAGAGAATCTTAAATATAACTTCTAATCAAACTCATCACTTTGTAGAGTACCTGATTATATTTGAATAAACTTTTGCGTCGTATTTTCCTGTGATTACGACAATCAGTAACTATCGACCTTCATTTGATCGGTTGCTGTAATATTTAGATACATGTTGTTGTCACAATTAAAATTCAGTCAAATTTTAAATTTGACTGAATTTTAATTTTGACTACAACTTATATTTGTATGATAACAAAAAATAGAACGAACTTTAAGGATGTAACGACTGTAAATTACGTTTTAGGTGGATGCCAGAATTTATAAATTTTTAAAACAAAATTTTACTTCACCATTAATATTGTTTACTACAGATTATAGGCCGAAATGGAAACACCAGCTCGGGCACTATTTTTCTTGGAATGGCGCGAGACGGGGGAGATCATGGCGGGTCGGGAGTAATTAAGATGCTATTTATACTCAATGCCATCCATTTCAGCTGCTGTCGACAGAGAGTTATCAACCATGAGTCAAGCTGTCAATCAAAGAAAATCTAATTTAGACTGCATAACTGTTGATAATGTTTTATTTTTTCGTTTCATAGAGAATAACACAGCAAGACAACCATTAATTTTCAGCTGTTTTATTCATGCTGCTGTCTATGAAAGCAAAATCTAAAAATGCGTTTCAACGCATTTTTCTCTTAGAACGCATATTTTTGCTGAAACATTCGTGTTTTATATAGAGCATTTAAAGTCGCTTTTTATAAGTCAAGACGCCTAAAAATCTAGTGAAACGCGTTTTTCTTCAAAAAACACAAATCACAAGAGAGTTCTTTCAGATTGTTCGTGAAAAACTCATTTTCTCGATAAGAAACGCATCAATAAAAATGCGTGAGCACACATAACGAGACAACCGGTTTTAGACGAGCTGGTTGAAAGTGCTTTTGTTGAGAACATTTGTATCTTTTTTTACAGACACCTTGGAACAATTTATTTTAAGGGCTACAAATTGTTTGCTAAGTAAAACTATTAAAATGCTAAGTTGGTCTTTGCTAAGTAAAATTTCTGTGCTCAGTAAAAAAAACTGAATGCTAAGTAAAAATATTGAACGCCCAGTTAATTAAAAGTTTCTCAGTAAAAAAAATATTTGCAAAGTTTGATAGATAATCGCTAAGTAGAAAATATTTTTGTTAAGTTAATAAATCGAAATTATTCTAAAAAAATAGAATCGCTAATTAAAAATTATTATTACTGAGTAATTTTCAGTAAATGTAAAGTACGATTATCGGAGATAAGAAAAATTTTTTATAGTACTATAATGTATATATTGTTTTCTCTTGCTTTCCTTCTATCATCGTTTGACTGGTATCGTGATATATATGTCAACATTCAATTTCGAATTCACTCTTATCTGTGATATTCACATTGAGTTAGTCGATTGTTGGATTGAGAAAAATTTTTTATTAAAACCTCTATCACTCTCAAGATATATGTTGGATTGAAATTCTCATTGATGAACTGTGATGGAGCAATGATACTTCATATATTAAAATCATCAATGAAGAACCTACGTTCGAATTTGAATTCTAATAGATAGTTTTCCTAAAAACCTGTTCTTCTGTAGAGATTTACGTAGAGGTTCATGAATGTTACTTAAATTTGTATATCGACTATTGTATTTTCTAGAGTATCATTGCTGCAAGGCCATTTATCAACAAGAATTTCGATTTAACATTTTTCTTGAGAGTAGCCGAGGTATTAATTAAAACAAATTCCTCAATCCGACGTTGAACCAGCCCAAAGTGAGCATCCGAGATTGACCTAGGCGGATCTAATATTGAAGTGAATCCAACACTGGATGCTGACACACATATATATCAATTATAGATTTTTTCGTTTTGCTGTAGTTGCCTGTTTTCTTACAATATGCTCTAGTATAATCCTATTTATTTTTCTCTTGCTATGTCTTTTACGTAAGATTTGTATTGCTTTCTCGAGACATCTCTTCTGTCTGGCACTTTTTGGTATGCTCTTTCCCTCGTTTTCTTACATACTTCTGCTGATCTGTCCTTGAAAGTTTACATTGAATTAAAAAACTAAACTATAGCAACGCGTCGGAATGAAAAAAACAACTTTGCGATTGTTCGAGCTTCTTCAAAAAATATTTTTGTAAAAATATTTTAGTCATAGCTATTAGGGTGAAGTTTTGCAAAACATCTCTATCAGCAAAGGATATACCTTTTGATAAAAAAAAAAAAACAAGAACGACCACGAAAAACAACAAAAGCTCTATTTATACAATAATTGTATAATTAACTTTTTCACTTAGATATTCATGTCATTTTACTTAACAAAAATTATATATTTAGCGATTTGCAATATTTTACTAAGAAAATCAAACTGTTTTACTTAGAATTTAAATGAAAAACTTAACAAAAATACTTTTTTTACTTAGAATTTTTTTAGCAAAAATTTAATTTTTTACTTAGCTTTTATTTAAAATTACTTAGCACTTAAATAGTAGCCTATTTTAAACAATGTTTTCAACTGTAAAAATGCGTCGATAAATAATGACAAAGGAACGAGGAAAATGATTAAAAATAAGACGGAAGAAGGTGGAAATTAAACATTCTACTGATTTCAGCCTTTGCTACTATTTAAGTAAGAAGCTTAAAAGACTTTGCAAATAGTCGCTGTTTTCAGCCAAATGAAAAAACGAGTCTATATTACATTGTTTAACTATTAGTAATCCTTGAAATCTTACACGCTTCTGCTTCTAGCAAGAACCGAAACCTCTAATAACTTGAAAATTTCAATTAGTTACGGGCACACTGCAATTAGTTTTATTTACCTTTAGTGAAATAAGCTTTTATCTGAGATAAATTGATCGTTGGGATGACTCCGATTTTAGCTGCACTTGTCATCTTTCCATTAGTTGCCGGTTCAGAATAGAGTTCATCGTCTCTATCGGTCAATGCTTTTTCAGCATTAAGAACATATTTACTTCGCATTTTTAGAATAATAGAAGTCAAATTAGATTGTTGCGTGCTATCTAATTCATAACGATATGTTGTCAATGATTCATCATCTCGCCAAGTAAATGCCATACATTGTTTACCTGATACAATGATTGGCTCTTCTGAAAATGAAAAGACGGAAAAAAATCCAACACCAAATTGTCCCACTGATTCAATATTAGTATTGCCCTCTGCAATTGATGCTACTCGTTGCCAATCGGTTTCCGTAAAGATCGTTCCGTTATTAACTGCACGAATTTCAGTAATAATGTTGTTATCAAACGTTGTTTTCCTTGAATCATTCGATTCGCATGTTAGTTCGAATGAAAATGATGTTGCTTTAGCATCATCTGCATTTTGAATAAGCTCTCGACAAACAACAAAATCTGATGAATATCGAGCGAGTATTTTATCGATTAACATACGATGATTTACTTTGACGACGAATTCAGAGCCACGTTGTTTAGCTTGAGACAGAAGATTATTCGATGAAAACATTTCTAACATAAGTTTAGAACGGTAACTATCGCAAGTTTTTTTAGCAAATCTAAAAAGATAATAAAATCAAACAGTGGTTCAACATATGAATATAAAATCCGTAAACAGTCATCAATAACATATAAAAAAATGCGATTGAGATTCAGCTTTTTTGTCAGTTCATACATAAGAGTTTCATAATAAATTTGTATAACTTATGAGTCTTATCCGATCATTGTAGCCACTAAGATTGATCAATATTTGCCAAGGTAATGGACATTTATTTATATCTACTGTCATCTCTTGTGGTTTATTCATGCGCTGATTAGTATAATGAAGTGTTTGTGTTGTGACATCAATTACAAGTTCAATGACATCATTTTCAAGAAGATTATTATATGTAGAAAATATATCATTTTTTTTTCGCGCCCAACCACCAGCATAAGAATGATCTTGAGATACCCAACCATAAGATGTTAAAGATTTATAAGAGTTTTCTTTCATTGGAGTAGTTTTAGAAATTATACCAATGAAAATCCATGTAGAAGATTTTTCAATTTTAAATCGTAATCGATGTTTACCTGATGT